CTTCTATATTTGGAGAAGATAAGGTCATCTTCATTGCCATGTTTCAATGTGGGTAATTGGTTTCAGTCTCCAAAATAATATTGAATCTTGGGTTGCAGGAAGTGTTTTCACCCACTTTTCACCCACCCACCCAGAGAATACTCAGTTGTGCTTTAGTATCCTTCTAAATAGTAAGATCTTTATTATATATACCTTTTTAATTCATATGTGGAATGAAGCTTATATTTTTGTGCCCATTGCAGAATTTTTATTGTATATCAAGACTTTCTGATTATTGTTTGATTGGAAGGGAGTAACAATTTCAATGGGTGGCTGTATTCTGAAACGTTGGGACCAAAAATTGCCACATGTCAGCTGTTGTATGTAACTCTAAACACTGGCATTGCTGCCCTCACCCCAGGACATGACAGAGCAATAAACCATGGAGTGGGCACACAGACAGTTGCAGTGGAATCTGGTGAACTTGGGTCCTACTGTACCTGCATCCTCTGCCTGTATGTCCACACAAATTTACAAAGGTGATCCGTTCTTTAGGTAAATAGAGCGTTTAAGCCAGAGGTGATCACGAGCAGCAGTAGATGTTCCCATCTTCCCTAAAAGCCAGCTCTAATGTCAGCAGTCCTCAGAAAAGGGCTTTGCTGGTACAGTTCGCTCTTCTTTGGAGATAGTAAAATGGATAGCCAAGTCTTCTGCTGTTCTCTCTATCCCCCTACACCAGACTGTTAATTGAGTAGCTACAAAGAGCAAGAGGTCCCTTGCAAGATCAAATATGACTCTGAGACTCAGACTCTCTCTTCAGAGCATCACCTGGTGATCCCCACAATAATGATATGCTCACATGCATCAAGTATTCCTGTGATTTCTGTTCTATTCAGGCTAAGAGAATATTAGATTTGGGGTATTATAAATTATTAGACTGAAAATTTTCTAATTTTTTTCAATTATAGAAATTGTCATGTTTCTCTAATAGTCTTCTGAAAAGCAAATAATACTGAAAGCAATCTGGTAAATAACTGTTTCATTCAGTTCATTGGCTTTGTTCATTTTTGCTTCAGATTTTATTCATACAAATCCTCTCCACTTGCTAAAAACATCATTGCTTGCAAGCATGGTGCTGTTAGGTGGCCCTTCACTAGCAGCTTTGAAGATACACCAAGATGAGTTTTGTCCAGATCTGGTTCATTGTCATGTTTGTCTAAACCAGCTCCTAATGAGGTGGATTTTTTTTTTCCCTTGTTTACAAGAAGCACAGTTTCAGACAAGACTCTTCAGACATATGCCTTGCTTCTTCAGAATGCTGCCAATAATTTCAGTTGAAGAGGATAGAGCCATGCATGTAAAATGCTTCACAACAAAGCTGATGGATGGATCTGGCATAAGCTTTGTTTTATACTTCTGTTCTTGGATTGAGAACTGAGAATATCTCTTTATTTCCCACTCGATGAGTATGGTAGATGTAAAATTCTTCTCAGGCAGGCTTTTTGTTGTGAGGATGTGAGTGACATTGAAGCTTTTTGCTCCGCATACAGTGTTTAAGTTGTCAATAAATAAAAATCACAGCAGGCATTTGGAATGTTTTCTTATGTAACTGAGGGAAGGAATTGCACCTGCCTTCATGCTTTGGTTCATGCTAGATCTTCTGTTTGTTTTGCACAAAAGTAGCCTTAGCCTTTGAATGTGAAAAACTGGAAGAAAACCTGAATTTAAAATTATTTAGAAAGTCAGAGAGCTGTGAGAAATATGACTCAGACAGAACTGTGTGTGACATTGCAAGAAGTGTCCTCTTAAGACCAATTTTTATCTCACCCCATAAACTAGTCAAATCCACTGCACAGAGGCAGGACCCACTGGTATTCTGACTTTTTCCTGTGTTTTGTTTGGAGATTTTAGTCTGTGATGGAACTAACAGAATTGATGGTCTTGCCCAGTGAGTTTCCAACCAAGTTTCAGTGGGGCAGTTGCATTTAGGAAGTCAGGATTTCAGTATCCCCTCTGTATTTATGTGGGTTCTGATTGTGTCCTCAGGGATGAGTTCTGATGCAGTGAAGTAACTTGCTGGAGGGTTGCAGAACAAACAGTTAAAACCAAGTCATTGAGGTCACAACTACCTTGGCACAGGCAAGTAGAAGTAGCCTTTTCTGCCATAGCAAAGTGCAAGTTTAGTACATGTTGAAACTTTAGGAAAAAAATACTGCTTTTCAGTGGTGTTATCATGATAAGTACAAATTACCCTTATGTGGTGCTACAGTGAAAATACAGCATGTGGATAAGGGTGTGCCCTGCTTTCTATCTGTTAGCCTGTATCTAAAAAAATTGTTCTCATTCACATACAGTGTGTTTCTCAATGGTGAAATTTCATTGTGAGCTTTAGCAGAAGATGTGTGTGTCTGGCAAGCAGCAACACTGGTGGGAATAAATATCATGTAGCTCTTACTTGGGTTTTTGATTGGTGGCTCTCAATTCATTTCCTTTCCCACAAGGAGAGAAGAGTTACTAAAAACTATTTCACATACAAAATTGCATAGGTTTCAGTGAATTGTTCTTTATGTTGTTTCTGTGGTTTTGGTTTGGGCTATTTTTTCCCTTCTGAGAGATCTGTGACCTAAGTCCTATCAGTACAGTAGGCATTCAGCATTTTGTTCACCAGCTCATGTGCCTCTCTTGCCTTCTGGAAATAGTGTATTTGATATTAGCAGAGCTTACACATGCTGTTGTAGAGAGGTTTGAAGCAACTTCTGTTTCCCCTGCAGATCAAAGTGGCCTGTGGAAGGAGCTGTATTCACTCAGAGATTTGGTGTCAGGCAGTCACTTCTCTGGTGGTTTAAGTGAAGAGTTCAAAAAGGAATCCTTTTCCCTTTTACTTGGAAGATTCATAACCCAAACTACTGGCTCTGTTCATGGGATTTTTTTTACATGAAGCCTTACAATATGGCTTCTTACATGTTACTCACTTGGATTCTTGCCTTTCATCTGTATACACATTCATTTGACTCCTCCACCAATAATTATATGATCAGGTAGAGATGTAATTCTGAAATGCAGCCTGGGTAAAGCTCTCACTGGTTGGTATTGTGAGCTGTACTCATGTTGGTAGAGCAGAGGCAGAAATCCACTTTGCCCAATGCCTCTCTGCTTTTTTAAATTCTGCTATTTTAAAAATCCATGACCTGCATGTCAGTCATCCTTTGTTAGAACAAGGCCTCTGACCAAGAGCGTTCATTGAATAAGAATTATCTAATGGAACGTGGTCCAAAAGCTCACAGACTGGGAACTCCTGAAAACCTGCCATGGCAGGAATTTTTTTTTCCCTTCATTTGTCATGATGTTAATAAATGCAGCTACTCAGGCATGAGGGGATGAAGGGAGAAAAAATAGGTTGTGAACATTATAGTTGATCCAGGTGCTTAGAAATGAGCAGTCATGTTTTCCCAAATTATGTAACTGATTTAAAAGTAATGATATATTTTAAAAATTATGCCCCTGAGGTTTGTGCCTCCCAGATAAAACACTCATATAATTTTCATATTTTTCTCAGCAATTCCAAGAATTATAAAACCACTACTTAAAAAAACCCAACAATTCCTAAATGCTCTCTATTCTTGTTGTTTCTGGAGTTTTCACTGAGACATCTACCATCACCAGAACTGGAGAATTTAGTAACAATATTACTGTAGTAAGTTGAATTCCTTCTTTTCTGTGCCATCCCTCTCCTCCAGCTAAAATTTTGGAATACTTTGGCAATGTAGACAGTGAGGGATGACAGTGTGAACAATAGTATAGGTAAGTTTATCAAGTGCCTCTAAAATCAGGACTTCCTATTGTTCAGTAAAAAGGCAGAAATTAATGTTATTACAGTGACCTGATGAGGTCTTCAGGGGTGAGAGAAGTGGACGAGAATCTTGTTTCATGATCAGAAGGCTTTATTGATTTATGGATTTATTGATATAAGATATATACTACATTATAACTATACTAAAAGGAATACAGAGAGAAGTTGCAGAGGCTGCTAACCTAAGAATAGCATAGAAAAGAATGAATAACAAAGTTCTGTGTCCAGCAGAAAGCAAGGACAAACTCTCCTGTGAGTGGTCAGCAAATCCAAACACTCACAGAACACCAATCACCGCTGCACCTGTTGCATTCCACACCAGCCGATAACAATTGTTTACATTCTTCTTCTGGGGCCTCAGCTTCCCAGAAGATGAACAAATCCCAAAGAAAGGATTTCTATGAAAAAATGTCTGCGACATAGTGTGGTAGTCAAGAATAAAAAATCCGTTGCTGATGCAAATTTCAAAACAAAATCAGATTTATTTTTTTTCCCCTTTCAAAATCCTGCCACCCTCTTCAGGAGAGGTAGAATTCCCCTCTGAAATGTCTGCATGCCTTCTGGGCATGTGAAAGCATTTTCAGTTAAGAAATAGCCCTCAGTTTTTCATGATCCTGAAGCTGATCACCCTAATTGCTCATAATGATGTCACAAGCAGTGAAGCCAAGGTTCCTGGAAGGGATTGGTACAGCTTCTCCCTGGCACTGGCATTTCTGAGTCTGTCACATTTGCCTCATTGGCCAGCAGCAAAGGTTGGAATCTTGATTATTGGAAGGTGCTGTGCTGCTATGTCCCAACAGTGGGGCATAAACACACCTCAAAGACATTGAACCTGAGACTAAAAGTTCCCTTAATTTGGGCTCAGACAATTTGGGTTTCCAAGTGGAATCCACTATGATTTGCAGGTGGGAGAAGTGGTGCTGTGGAGAGAGAGTTTGGGGAGCTCTGGTATTTCAGCTACAGCTTGTCTCTAACTCAAGTCATGTCAGAGAATGGTGTAAGTATTAATAAGAATGAAGCAGGATTTTCTGCATTCACTGTGCAGTTGAAAGTCTTGCTTTTGAATTATGTGCTGTTCCTAGTTGCCAGACTTTGCAATAAAGTGATGTAGAAAGGAATATGTCAGCCCTCGTGTATGTTATTTACCATGTGCTTTGCCTTCCCTTTCCAGCACTTACAGAACCCAGCAAACTTCCATAATGCAGCAACAGAGCTCCTGGACTGGTGTGGAGACCCCAGAGCCTTCCAGAGACCGTTTGAGCAGAGCCTGATGGGCTGTTTGACGGTATGTCCACCCTGCTGTGGCTCCAGTTCTGTTTTATTCTCTGTTCACTCTCTCGTGACCAAGGGAACTTGATTTTCAGAATCTGCATTTTAAGGGAATTTTTGTCATTTTACCTTTAATACATAAAGCCAGACCCTAAGACCTGTTTATTTGACTCCATTGCTTAACAGGAAGCAAAATGCAATAAGAAGAAGTTGGAGCATAAGAGGGCTAAACATTTTTAGTTAGATTACTTACAAATGCACAGGCTGGTTTATTTGTTATACACATACTGTATTATCTCATGATGTGAAATTGCTAATGTTTTTACAGAGTGATGAACTTTCCAGGTATTTATTTTCCTTTGGCATTTTTGGTAGGGCTGAAGGACCACTTGCCTTTTATTCTATGTATGCTGTGCTTCCAGCTAAGCAGTGTTTCTGACATGCCTGTTTAGCTTACTTTGTTACATGAATTGACTGCAGGTCTCATCCTGACATACTAATTCCAGCAATTCCATTGAGTTCAGTGCTTTTCTTTTCATTCACTTTTCATTAAGACCACCGTAGTTCCTAAAGCAACTTCATTATAATGCATTAAAATATATATTTTTCAGTACATTTTGGTTTTGAAACTTTTGTTTTCCAGCAGCAGTAGTCCAGAACTTTTATGCAGAGTTAAGACTTTAGATTAATTAAATTCTGACTAAGCAGAAGGATTAAAAGTCTCATTGCAATTTGCCAAGCAAGATGATCTAAATAAATAGTCACAAAAGAAACAAAAATTCTGAAATTAATAATGAAGGGACTATCATTTTATTTGTTGTGGGGCAGAAGTGCATGGATTACTTTCATGCAATGTGTAGCTAGTATACATGAAACAGACATTAAGACTGAAATTGAGTTGCCTGAAATCCAAATGTTAAGGAATGGCTCCATCTTAGTGTGCTCCAGTGTATAGCATCCCTCAGATTTGTATGTCAGAAAGTTAGAGTAAATCCAGTTATAATAGGAGATTGATAGAATCTTCCAGTCAGAGAAAAAATAAAATAAAGGAAGGTAAAAATGGTAAAGTCCAAAGACAGACTATTTAACAATCCTGTATGAAGTAAAAGTTATCAGTAGCATCAATTATGAGAAAATGCACATAATGTCCAATTGACCATAACTATATTTTATTTAGGCTTTTTAAAAACTTTGCTAGCATTTTTCAGGGTAGCTTTTGGGAAAGCAGATGTTCACCTCAGGTATAACTGGGCAATCTGTGCACAGTATTTCTCTGCAGCCCTTGCTGGAACATTGTGAGTCTGACCTGCGACTTCCTTGCTGTTTAAATCTTTTCTTTCTACATGAGCAGATCTTCAGCCCTGCCCAAGTGAAGGGTCAAAATAAGATCTGACTGCCAGTGATTCATTCTCCTCACAGTGTACAGAAAGTGGGCAGGAAATGTTCCATGAAAACTGGTGAGGTAAAACACAATACGTGGTTTTCAGTGTGTTGAAATAAAAATACTGTTTTTCTTCTGTCAAGGATGAAATAAAATAACCAGTATTACCATCTAAGTACTGTTAATATTTGAACCACATGTATTCCTTTGCTTCATACTTCTCCCTGAAATCTGAACAGGATGGCATGCCCCTTTCCCAGGCTTGTTGTGGGAGAGAATTATCTGCAGTGTAGGACTGACTGGCAGCAGCATCTTTATCACGTGTTGTAATTTCATTACATTCCTGACAAGGAAATAACACAGGAACTTAACCAGGTGGCTTGTTCTGTGTTGGATAAATACACAGGGTTTGCAGAATGCCTATAAACTGCAATGAAGATGTTTCTTGTTCTTAATTTTAAAATCCCTCTAAGAAAGATATTCTTTAATTTCTTGTTGTGTACATCCCTCTTCCTCTTCCTGCTTCCCATTAAACAGACTTAACAGCATGGTTGTATCCCAAGAGGTTTGTACTTCCTGTATCATCTTCATACGTTAGCAGTACAGTGGGCAAGGTCTCTCTTTTAATTTATTTTTCTCCTTATATGTATATTTTTTCTATTTAAGCTTACTCATACATAATTTCTTTCTAATTAATATGTTCTGTTTCATAATTTAGCAAACATGGATTTTTCATTTCCTTACAGTAAAAGGGGTTTGTCTACTTTTAACAAACATGATGGAACTTTAGTCTGTTTTCAGAGAAATTATTCAGAAAGTTGCAAATAAGTCAAAGGTAGCTGAAATAATGGAATATCATGAGTAGATTTAACACTAGATTGCATAGCTTCATGTTCTGTGCTATCAGGAGCCTATTTTTGTTAATGCTGATAAGGTTTACCAGTTCTTACTTCTTTGTGAGGATTATGCTAAAAGAAAAATGAAAAATGAGTATGAAAGTATTCAATCACTGAAACAGGATTACTGTTTTATTTTGCTAGCCTTTAAATGACCATCAATGGTCAAATCCCTGAAAATTTCCATATTTTTGGATATACTTTTTTAAAGAAAGTGATCTCTACCATCATTGCAACATTTGAGCTGTGTAGTTCTTTAAGGCATTTAATTTGAAAAGTCTACAAATACTAAAAATGCTTGCTTGCTCATAAAGCTTCTCCTCTGTAATACTGCGAATGATTTTTGTTATTTTTATGACATTCTGTTCCATTAACTCTCTGACCAGGGAAAAAGTGGTGTATGCTAAGCTGTTCTGGAACCATCAAGGGATATGAAATGATCATGTCCTGCGAGTGGTAACACGACATATACTAATCCAAATTGAAACTTATGAGGATGTCATGAATGCAGAAAGGCAGGCTCTCTCAGGAATGTGCAGTCATTCACACACTGCAGAGCTGAAATGCATCAGGTGTAATGAGAGAGCAGCAAAACAGATCGGTTGTGGTATGAATAGCCAGCTGAATAGGTTATCACAGATCAGCAAAACATGGGTATAATAGGTATAACAGATCCTTTGCATCATGTAAGTCCTATGTACAGTCTTTTGTAAAAATTAACCAATTAGATTTAATCTGATTAATAAAGGACAAATTTGCTCACAGTCTTGAAATAAGGCTTTAATTTAAGAAGTGGCTCTTAGAAGTAGTTCTGTTTACCTGTCTGTCTTTGTGTTGGGACTGTCAGTAATGTCTGGTAACTGGATAACCACCTGGATGTTTGTATTCCTGCTGCCTGTCTTAGAATACATGCAGAAGAATGATCTTAGAAATACTCTGCCTTGTCAATAGCAGAGGAGCTTCCAGCTTCATTTATGGAATTACTGAACCATTAAAAACATTTATGGTTTTGATAATAATATGTAGAAAATATATATAGAATAATATATAGAAAACCCATTGCAGAGGGTTTTTTTAAATTGTAATAACAGCACTTAGAGAAATCTTGGTGACTTGATAATTTCATGAGTTTGCTAGACAGCAGTTGTTGAATGACAACATGTATAACACATGTCTAGTGTTTGTCTTGCCTTGGTGATTTTTTTTTTGTATAATCTGTGCACAGTATGCAAACTGGCTATTTGCAGTAGATAGTTTTTTCACATGAGCAGTACTTTATAATTCTGAAGTTACATTTGCTACTGTGGGCTCCAGTGACATTGCGTGCAACATAATAGGAATGCTTTTCTTATTTATAGAAGGAACTCAGTATTTGATACAATAGGTAAATTTTGCCAGAGAGGTACCTAATAAGGTATGTAAACTTCATTTCAGTAGTCAAATACTTCATGTAACAATACTTTAAATGATTACTCATTTAGAGTTTAAATAATTTCCTTTTGTGATGAAAAAATCAGGGTAATGCTGCCAAGGCCTATGAACAAAACTGGGGTATTTCTGTGCAGTGCAAACAGTCAAATAGAGAAGGATACATAGGTAAACCAATTACTTATGCCATAAATAGAAAATATTTTTTCATTAACTAAGCCCCAAAAGCTGTGCCTCTTCTGACCAAAATGTCATGCAAGGGCATTATGTTGCTATGTTCAAACAGTTCTGACAGACACTAATCCTAGAACTTAACTTTTTATGCTTACCATTACAGAAAATCACTAAAGTGAGTGGGTAATAAAAATTTATAAAGAATGCTCATTTCAACAGATAAATAGTAAGTCAGGGGTAAAGGGGTAAGCTTTGGATCTGATTTATTTCTTGCAAGCTACAGGCTGTGGAAAGGTTCCCTTAAACACCTTTTACAGAGCTCATGCAAACAAATTATGATCTTTCTCAGAGACAATAAAATTTCTTCTAACTTGCCAAGAAAAGCTAGGTGCTCTTTTTCAACAGTAGTTATTTTCAAATCAAATAGACAGTCTGTAGGCCAGAAACTGAATTATAATTGAAATCATTGATTCTATAAATTATTGAAATGGCAATGGATATGGTATTCTTTTGTATATAATACTACTTCTACAAACCAGGCAAAGCTGTGTTTTTATTAGGATTGAAAAAATTTCTTACTCTAGTACTAGAATATATTATGGCAAGGCTGATAGTCTTGATAAATTTAAGCATTTAATTCTCTAAAAATGTACTGTATATCGAATTACCTTACAGTCTTCTGAAATAAACAGCTTCAGTTATTACACAGCAGTTTAAAAAAATTACCCTATTTTGGCCAAATCAGATATCTGTCCAAGCAGAGAAATCCAAGTACTTTAATCACTCACAGGTTAATTTTCTCCTAACCGTTTCCCAATCCATGTGGATACTAAAAGTCATGTTTAACAGTAAGGTTGAGCAAAAAGTTACACCATAATTGAATTATATCTCTGTGTATGGGATACAAAAGCAAAATATTGCTCAAGAGCTTTTCAGGAAAGAATGCTTCAAAGTAGACTGCAGTACAAATAACTTTCAGTCAGCATTTGGCCCAGGCTGTTTTGTTCATTTCTGCCCCTTCTCAGGGGCAGTGTAGTCTCATCCCTTGGTCTGCTCTTGCCAAGCAGTTTAACATGTAAATGATCTTATTGAAGCTTTGGGTAATATTTGTGTTGGTGCTGTAGCAAAAATGGAAAT